GTTACATCCAAAAAACCACCAAAATGTCTGCTTTTCCAAATTCTGCCAACCAAGAGAGGGTAATTTGAATAATTCGTTTTTTAATACAGAAAAGCAATAACTTTATCAAATCACTTCTGTTTTGAAAACAGTAATAAGTCGTTGTACTGAATTTTTAATTATTTCCATTTCTTTTTCGTTTAAATAAGTTACTAATAAAAAAATGTCGAAATATTCAGTGGAAATGTCAACTGGTCTGATAGAATTGTTATTGTTTACAACATACATATATATATTTTATACACAATAGATAAAAATGTAGCTCAGTAACAGTATCACCATCGCCGATTAAATTTTATTTTGTTTTTGCTGCAATGTTTTGGGCACAAATTTCAAGCGACTATAAATTAAGCTGCAATAATATTTTTAAAAACAACAGGCAAGGACATTGTAAATGCATTTTAATTGTTATTGTTATTGTTATTGTTACTGCATTTATAGTTGTTGCTTTTGTTGGGTATCATATTCATTTTTTAGTGCAATTACGCTTATCTGCTATACGAAATCCGACACACATGTTCAGGATAAAAACACAAGCAACAACTTTTGTTGTTATATAGGTACAACCTGAGACCTATATATACATCTACATGCGAGTATATTTATATAAATGTCCCCTCTTGTCAGCTAAACTGAATCCCTTGAGCTCCCAACCACTTGTACACACAACCATACAGCTCTCATCCTGCACTCTTATTAATCCCTTTGCCATCTCTGTGTTAGCGTTTCATAATTTATGTACATTTGTGCGTGGCTTTACACGTTGTATGTCACTCGGGTGTGTGTCAGCGAAAGCTTTAGTGTTGACAACGCCACCCACTGATGGCAATGCTACATCGGCCCTCCGCAATTTTTTTATGTCTGTTTCTGCTATGCCTTAATTATTTTGTGTTAATTGTTGTGTTTGTTGTATTTTTAATATTCATTATTTTCTGCTTAAAAATTCCATTAAAAAATAAAAAAAAATGTTTTTTTTATTAATCCACTTAAACTGAAGTCTATTTTTAAACTGTTTTTTCCTATTTGCCAAAGGCCTTTTCAAAATGTCCTTAATTTCTTAATGTCACCATCAAATAGTAGCGGTGAAAGTGATCTAATAAAATAATTCAAATTTAATTTAAATATTCTTATAATTTTGGCTTTAATTTTTTATTTTAAATTAGTTTAAATTATATAAAATATTTAATTAAATTATTTTAATTTATTTACATTTATTATACATTTATGTAAAATTTATTATGATTACTTTAATTTAGTTTTAAATTGGTTTTGATTTTGTACGGCGACTAATGAAATAGCTATTCAACCTTAAATGTTAATATATCTGTAAAGAACTATACAATTAAATTTAGACGATAGAAGAGCACAATTCCATTCTTATAAGCCTATAAAACCTCAAACAAAAAAAAACAAATAAATAAATTAAAATTAAATTTTCATAATATTAATAAGAGAGCTTCAGTTTCTTTTCCGGTTCTATTAAAAAAGTAGGAATCAGTTCAACCCCAGCATTCGCTCCGTCAAATATCACAGTGTTTTACGTTGCGTTCCGAGTGAATACATTTTATGAGTTTTTGAACAATATTACAAAATATTTTTTTCCTATTATTAAAATCATTTCATATATACTATTAAGAAAGTATACTTTACTAATTTATGTTTACATTTCTAAACATAAACTTTAACTTTCTTTGGAAAAAGTTTTAACAACTGAAGAGGAATATACATATATAAGCAGTGCTTTACCGATATTTTTTTTTTCAGTTTGATGCTGGTTTTCACTCTGGCTAAGCTATCAATTTTCTGCGGGTAACAGTTCAGTCTCAGTTCGAAGCTCGACTTTATTCTACTGAATATTGAAGCTTCTTGAAAAATGCCCTAATTTAGAGAACAATATTTAGTACTTAAAAAGTTGTTAGAATCGTAAGAAATTTAATATATATATATAATAAGAAACAATCAAAATATAATAGGTCTCTACTTGAAATGTTCTTTCTATATAGTAAAATACTTTGAAACTTAAAAATTCAAAATTTTTCAAGAAAATTAATTAATAATAATTGTACTGGTTTACCGGTTTACAGAGCGTGCTGGTTTAAAGATAAGTACTTAAAAAACAAAACGAATGATGAATGATGGAGAAGAAATTGAATGTGGAACTAATGAAGCAAATGCCACGTTTGATAAAATTAACAATATATGCTGCGAATCTTCAACACAAATGTGAAATCTATCTTGTACTACGGCTGTGAAACGTGGAAGCACACCAGTCATATAGAAAGAAAGATACAAGTGTTTGTCAACAAGTGTCTACGTAGAATTCTCAAAATATGGTGGCCGGATCAAATATCAAATGAGCGCCTGCTGAACCAAACGAATCAAAATAAAATGAGAAAGTGAAAATGGATAGGCCATACACTTCGACAACCGAGAAACTACATAGCTAGGCAAGTGTTGGCATGGAATCCACAAGGTTGCCACAGGTCTAGGGGTACAAAATATACAAGGAATAACAATCAGCTCAAATTTTGCATTATATTTAAAATAATATACAATATTTATAATTATTAATTATTATTTAATTATTATTATTAAATTATTTATTTATTATAAAGAAAATATATAGGATCTTATCAAACAATATTAATTGGAAATTGACAAATTTGTCAACTAGATTTAATACAATTCAAAATAATATAAAATTCGTATTTTTGCAACATATGAAGTGTTTTACTTGAAAAACCGACATCTAATCCACCACTCTTTTCTCATAAACAGATTTAAGTATGACTTTCGAGGTAAAATAAGATAACGTTCCCGACAGAATGTAGTGGAACCGATCCGATTTTTGATTTTCTTAAACAAATCCATTTTGCTAAGATGGTAACGCTAGTTATGGAGACCCGCTATTTGTTCTACCTTGGAGAAGTGCCATAACGTAGTCATAAATCAGAATCATTTGTTGAGCTTGGTGGTTGGTTGGTTGCAGTGGCAGGCCATTAGATAACTTCCATGTACCGCAATTTGCGATTTTTCACCGTTTTCCTACCATATTCCTTGCAAGAACCCTAGTATAGAAGAGTAGAGACTAAATTCATCCCGCCGAATTGGTGGTGGTTACTTAGAGTGTTACGCCAGTAGCGACATCTTTTTATTGAAGTTCCTTTGATTTCAACATCTTTTGCAAATATTTTTTTATGAATATAATCGACTTGTCACTCCATCCCTAAAGGTGCCTTTACATAAAATAAAGGAATATTTGGCATAGTTTTTTCTATTTGCCAAGGTTTCTTAAGCCACCGCAAATCATATTAGTTTCCTCTTCTGCGCTGTGTGTTCTCTTTTAATTGTGTGTTGAAACTACATCAGATTTACAAAAATTACATTTGTAGTTTTTTATGTTTTTAAATAATAATGTTAACATCTTATTTTAATAAATTTTTTATAGCTATTCACATCACTGTCAGCGGTTACGCTAAAACGAGATGGATAAAAAAAGGATATCCGCGTGATAGCGAACGCGCCATATGTCGCGCGTATCGCTCATATTTGTCATCCCGTTCATATGTGCTGGGCACATGTGCCAGCAGTTCGTGCATGGATTGGAGTGCAGGTGAATATTCGTATACGTTTCACGTAATACTGCCAGAAAATTTGCCAACAGCGTTCGATGGCAAATACGGACAAATACGCTACGAAATCATAACGACTATCGAACGACCCAGCCGGCATCCAAAAGTCTTTAAACTGCCGTTCACTGTAATACAACCGTTGAATTTGAATGAGGATGCTATATATAGGGTAAGTTTTGTTCCTCTAAGAACACTAAATAGTAAGTAATATGGCTCTTATTGCTGAATGGTTTATTACTTTTTTTACTAAAAAGCGATAAAATGTATGAATGAAAAAATAAGCAGATTTTGTTCTATCATTGAAAACACTATTTCTTCAATAAAAATAGATATTCTTAATACTTTAAGAAATAAATTCGTTTTCTATTTTATGTTCTTTTTTAATCCATAATTATTTCAACTCTAAATAAATTATTAATTTTAGATACCATTAGATATACTCAATCGCAAACGTTTTTGGAGCTTTTGTTGCCCAACTGGACCATTAACTGTGAAATTCTCAACGCCCTATTGTGGCTATGCACCCGGCCAAAAAATACATTTCGTCCTTTATATAAATAACGAATCATCAATCGATATAACCGAATGCGAAGTCAAATTAAAACAAGAAGTCATCTACGAATCACACGATCCACAACATGAATTTCGTTATGACAAAAATTTAATAGCGCGCAAGCAATTTGGCAATGTTTTACGTTGGAGTCGGAAAGTGTATCGCGGTTGGTTGGATTTACCATCCATAGCACCAACATCGGCTAGAACAACTTGTCCCATATCTGTGAATTATTTAATTAAAATCATTATAAAGCCGACTGAATTTCATTGGAAGTTGAAGCTTAAAGTACCTATAACAATTGGTAGTATACCAATTATGGACAATCCTATGACCATTAATGAGACGTTATTACATATACAAATGTCAACGCGCACAAATAATAATAGTTATGTTAGTGGTGAACCATCACCCACTTCATTGCGACAACAACAGGAGCAACATGAAAGTCGAGCCACGCCTGCCATACTAGTAACGGATGGAGACAATCCACCGGATTATATACCTATGAGTAAGTAAGAGATAAGATAAATGTAATTTGTATAAAAAACAGTTTATAAAATAGGGATATATTCCATATGATGTATTATAGGAACTTTGTGTTATTAAATGTTAAGATAATCCCTTAAAGTTCTTATATCCCCATAAAATGCTGACAGTAGACTATTCTGTTCCATTATATTTCATGTGTTTTTAACTTCACTTTCACCTTCTGTAAACAAAACTAGTTAAAGAATGTAGATCTCATAAACCAAGACCAGATTTTGGGTAGTCATTAAAAGGGACGCGTGATTACTGCATGCTTACTGCAATTCTCTCTGGTTACTGGTGTATAGGAACCACTTTTAGAGAAATTTCACATTTCTTTTCACATACTCACTCTAGAAGTTGTGGAAACTTATCGGAAAAAGTATGAAGGTCTACCTAAAGCCTACAGAAAAAACAGATTTTTGACAGTCTGTCAGACCATTTAAAGGTAAGGGCGAAAGATCTGTTAAACTATCCAAATTCAACGAGATGGGTTTAGTTTTTGTCTTTTTTTTTTTATAACTTAAGGTGTTTTGGTAGTAATTTGAGAAAGTTGCTAATTATCGATATCGATATCTATGCTTTTGATTCTTTTATATTAAGCTCTAAGCTCTATTAGTTTTATATGGATTTTTTTGTTTCTATATGTTTGCAAAGACTTCAATCCAAATAAATGCCCAGGTAGATATTGTTATATGCTTGGTGTATGGGTATTATATTTAAAGTAGTTATCAAAAAGGTATCAAATAATTGGATACGATATATCCATATACCATATATACCATATATATATATAAACTTGTACTCTAGACTCAAAAGTATTACTTAGGTGTGTTAATTTCTATATGATTATATTGACTTCTATATAAGTGATAGGTATCATTATCTGTTTGAATATTCCTACGCTATTTAAGGTGTCACAATTGATGGTTTACATGAAAGTGAACAATTTATTATTTTATTATATTTTATTTTTTTAATTTTTTTATTAATTTTTTTTAATTTGCAATGTATATTTTCATTATATCTATATTAGTTTTTATATACTATTTTATTTTAATATTATTAAGTATTGTTTATCACTTTCTAAATTGGTTTCCACAACCTACTTATGGATTTTAGTCTAACGTGCCAAACAGTACGTTTTTGCTTGGTGTCCGATTTTACGTGAAATGTATCCAATCCTGCATACAACTTAAACTTGGGGTCTTGAGAATCAGATTCGTTGTATGTATTAGTAGCTTATTACCTACCAATTGCTAAGTATCTTTTGTTATAGTCCCTATATAATGGAGCTACGCAGAGGCTGTGCGGCAATTTGTATTGAGCACAATAAGGATAACATTTACTAAGTTAAAGACACG